TTGAAAAAATTCAGAACTGAAAAATTGAAAAATACAGAAATCCAGAGAAATTGAAAAATTGAAAAACCAAAGAATCTATATTTTAAAAAATCGGAAAATTAAAAAAATCAGGAAACCGAGAAATTGAAAAATCGAAAAATTGAAGTTTCAAAACATGTATTGAAAAATTCCTAAACTGAAAGATTGACAAATTGAAAAACCAAGAAATAGGAAAATGATAAACTGAAAAATCGAAAGCCGAGCAGTCAAAAAATCGAAACAACAAAAATTCGAGAAATCAGAAATGGAAAACTTAAAAGACCCAAAAATAGAAAGGCAAAAAGTCGAAAAATCTAGAAGTCGAAAAGTCGAAAAATTGAAACGTCAATTAATTTGAAATTCGATCAAAAATTTTGAAACGTCAAAAATTAAAAAAACGAAAAATTTAAAAATCGAAAATCGAATACTGAAAAGAATTCAAATCGTTAAACTGAAATCTGAAATATCGAAAAATCGAGAAACTCAAGAAAAAAATAATCGAGAAACTGAGAAATCCAAAAGTCGATATACATATTGAGAAACTGAAAAATTGGAACATCGAGGAATTGAAACAAGCAAAGATCGAAAAACTGAAAAATCGAAAAAATTAAAGACCAAAAAATAAAAAAATTTAGAAATCGAAGAACTGAAAAACCGAGAAGTCCAAAAATCGAAAGTTCGAGAAATCGAAACATTAAAAAATTGAAAAATTTGAGTACTAAAAAATGGAGAAAATTTGAAAAACTACAGAATTGAAAAATTGAAAAATACAGAAATCGAGAGAAATTGAAAAATTGAAAAACCAAAGAATCTAAATTTTAAAAAATCGGAAAATTAAAAAAATCGGGAAACCGAGAAATTGAAAAATCGAAAAATTGAAGTTTTAAAACATGTATTGAAAAATTCCTAAACTGAAAAATTGACAAATTGAAAAATCAAGAAATAGGAAAATGATAAACTGAAAAATCAAAAGCCGAGCAGTCAAAAAATCGAAACAACAAAAATTCGAGAAATCAGAAATGGAAAATTTAAAAGATCCAAAAATAGAAAAGTCGAAAAGTCGAAAAATCTAGAAGTCGAAAAGTCGAAAAATTGAAACGACAATTAATTTGAAATTCGAAAAATCAATAATTTAAAAACGCCAAAAATTGCAAAATCGAAAAATTTAAAATCGAAAATCGAAAAATCAAAAATTGAAGAATTGAAAAGTCAAAAAATCGGAAAATTAAAAAAATCAGGAAATCGAAAAATTGAAAAATCCAAAAATCAAAAAATTGAAGTATCGACACATGTATTGAAAAATTCCTAAACTGAAAAATTGACAAATTGAAAAACCAAGAAATAGGCAAATGAAAAGCTGAAAAATCAAAAGCCGAGTAGTCAAAAAATCGAAACAACAAAAATTCGAGAAATCAGAAATGGAAAATTTAAAGACCCAAAAATAGAAAAGTCGAAAAGTCGAAAAATCTAGAAGTCGAAAAGTCGAAAAATTGAAACGTCAATTTCAAATTCGAAAAATCAAAAATTTAAAAACGCCAAAAATTGCAAAATCGAAAACTTTAAAATCGAAAATCGAAAAATCAAAAAATTGAAGAATTGAAATATGTATTGAAAAATTCCCAAACTGAAATATTGATAAATTAAGCAGTCGAAAAACCGAAACATCGAAAATTCGACAAATCGAAATGGAAAAGTCAAAAAACTAAAAACGAGAGAAGTCAAAAGTCGAAAAATCTAGAAGTCGAAAAGTCGAAAAATTGAAACGTCAATCAATTTAAATTTCGATCAAAAATTTTGAAACGCCAAAAATTGGAAAAACGAAAAATTGAAAAATCGAAAAATTGAAGTATCAAGACATGATTTGAAAAATTTCTAAACTGTAAAATTGATAAATTGAAAAACCAAGAAATAGGAAAATGAAAAACTGAAAAATCAAAAAGCGAGCTGTCCAAAAATCAAAACAACAAAAATTCGAAAAATCAGAAATGGAAACTTAAAAGACCCAAAAATAGAAAAGTCAAAAAGTGGAAAAAATTTGAAATTCGAAAAATCAAAAATTTAAAAACGCCAAAAATTGAGAAATCGAAAACTTTAAAATCGAAAATCGAAAATTGACAAATCGTCAAACTGAAATTGAGAAATTGAAGAATAAAAAAATCGAGAAATTGAGAAATCGAAAAAGCGAAATCCCGAAACAAAAAAATTTTAACATCGAGGAAGTGAAACAAGCAAGGATCAAAGAATGGAAAAATTGAAAGACCGAGAAGTCGAAAAACTGAAAGATCGAGAAAAAACATCAAAAAGAAAAAAAAATTTGAGATCCAAAAAACGAAAAAAAAAGATAGAAAAACTAAAGGATAAAAAAATTGAAAAATCGGAAATCGGGACATCTAAAAATCGAAAATTTCCAAATCGTCAAACTGAGATTGAGAAACTGAAGAATAAAAAAATCGAGAAATTGAGAAATCGAACAATCGAATTCCCGAAACACTAAAAAATTTTAACATCGAGGAACTGAAACAAGCAACGATCAAAGAATGGAAAAATTGAAAGACCGAGAAGTCGAAAAACTGAAAGATCGAGAAAAAACATAAAAAAAAGAAAAACTTTAAATCTAAAAAATGAAAAAAAAAATAGAAAAACCAAAGGATAAAAAATTGAACAATAGGAAATCGGAACATCTAAAAATCAAAAATTGACAAATCGTCAAACTGAAATTGAGAAACTGAAGAATAAAAAAATCGAGAAATTGAGAAATCGAACAATCGAATTCCCGAAACACTAAAAAATTTTAACATCGAGGAACTGAAACAAGCAAGGATCAAAGAATCGAAAAATTGAAAGACCGAGAAGCCGAAAAACTGAAAGATCGAGAAAAAACATCAAAAAAATGAAAAAAAAAAAAAAGAAAAAGTAAAGAATCAAAAAATTGAACAATTGCAAAATCGAGAAGTCGAAATATCTAAATTTTAACGAAGATTAGGATCGCTCATTATTTTCTAATACTTGCCTAAATTTTGCCATTTTTGAGGCCTAAATTCACTCTTTGTTACTCATCATTAACTCATGTTGCAACTAGATATGTCTTCGTTTTGTCAATGAATCAGTTTATCCAACATGAAAAAAAAAGTCGTGGCTCACTTTTATCTAAAAACATCCTGAATAGTTCATAAATTCCACTGATAAGTTCCGCCTCTTAACTGACGACGAATAAAAAAAATCGTCACAACTGAGACCGGGTGGGTGGGCGGGGCATATTATTTGACATTTTTTTCTTATTATTATAAATACTCTTTACAACAAAAGACTGAAAAAATGGTAAATTTCATCTCCTACATTTCTGTACAAATTTACCATTAAAAACTACGTAGACATATTAAGAAAAAATAAATACCAACTCAAGTTGCACCTAAGCTTGAAATATGCTGGTTTCTAAAGCAGCTTGAAATTGAAATTGTAGCCCGTTCGAGTTAATTAGTAATTTTCCTTCAAACATCAGGGATTAAGACTTACTTAAGCCAGAGCATGTAGAACACGGAGAAGACGTTGCTTGGTATGATTATAAATAAAGCCGCAAATTTCAGCGGAAAGATTATCTGAACGTGGAAAATTTTACAAAAAAACGATTACGTAATTCCTGTGAGATGCCACTTTGAAATTATAGTCGTCCGATAGTAAGCAATAAATAAATGTAATAAACAAGAGGCGGATCTCTGAAACTATTAAGTGTCAGAGCGGAACTAAAATTTAGTGTGACAAGTGCACCATTGGACATCTTTCTAAGTAAGTCAGCAATTTCGTAAAATATAAAGACATGAAAACGCTTTCAGACTAACCAAGGCATGGACAATATAACCCTACAGCTTGAGCCCTTTGGCCGTCTAAATTTAGACGAATTGGACGAGGTTGACGACACCTACTACTACTATTTTGACGGCTGGGACATCGTCGCTAAAACACTCGAACTGGCCATCGTGGGGGCTTCCGAGTGTGCCTGTTTTGCCATGATCTACGTCATCACAAAATTTGACTACCTCAAAACCAGAACCAACTTGTACATTTTACACTACTCCCTCACTGCTATGCTTTTTTATATTACGACGATCATCTACGAACTACTTATACCACTTGGAATTTACGACATCGGTACCCACTTTACTCTATGTCTATTTTACAAAATCGGTGGTACCGCGTTGACGTTAATGTTCACGTTTAGTACCATGCTTTCGTTGGATTGGGTACTATTCATGTTCGACGTTTCGTGGCTGGAAAGGTATTCACAAATTCAAAAATACATCATCGGAGGAATCTATATTTTGTACATCGCGCAGTACATCGACTCCGTGGTACCGTGTTTCGGATTATCGAGAATTTTTACGCACGACTTTATTATCATAGAGTATCTTGTAATGGTAGTCGTCGTTGTGACAGCCAACTTGATAACTTGTTGCAAAAAACTCAGCGAGGAATGCGCCAAGTATAGATATTTTCTCAAAATTTCGACCTACATATTGTTGAGTTGGCTCCCCTTTTTGATTTTGTTTTTTGTTGTGACTGGTCTTCTGCGTGCGCATACAATGTACATCGCTATTGACGACTTCTTCGAGAATCTGATTAAATTTACAACAGGGATCTTGCCTGCAGTGACCGCTTTTTGGCTCGACAGTTGTGATTCCAAGTTCAGACAAGCCTTCAGAGCGGTTTTCTGCGGAAGTCAAGATCAAGAGTTTCTGGATGACGGTGACGAAAACACACTAATTGGGAACGAAGAGCTTCCAGGCGTTCACAATATTGTTTAAGTTAATTTTATTTTAAGTTTGAGTTTCGAAACTACTTTATTGTAAAATTGTATGCTCTTTCAATAAGTCGAATAAACTACGAACTTTTAGTAACTATTATGTTGTGGTTGTAAGTTGAAATCTAGCAAACGTCACACACAGAAATGTGCAAAGTTTGATTATTATTTCTTAGAAAGTACTTACAGAGTTCTCACTTCAAGTGAAGGTGGAACGGGGCCTGAAGACGAAAATTACCTGGAATAAAAAAAAATATTTAAAATTCGTTATTGGCAGTTATTTTCTGATCAAGTTTGCCACAAGAGTTTTCAGTGCCGATTGCAGTTGGTGTACTGAAACGAGCAAATACAGAAATGTATATTTAGTTGCCTGCACTTAACAATAAAATAACATTGGGTCGACTAGAATTGAAAGCAAATATGCGCAACGTAATTACTCTGACTGTTATTTTTTTATTATTTTGCTGTATTAAATGGTTGATAATGACCAGACCGAAGAAAAGATAATAAAATTTTTTTGTGATTACGTCTACCAATTTTTTTAATAACACTAAAATTTTTATTCTCGTAGGCTTGTTTTACTGAATTAATTATTAACGTTTCATATTTTAATCACTCATAATCCGCCTTCGTCAAGTAAGAAATTCAAGTTAATTAAACCTAATTATGTGTAATTTAGATATAGGAATCTGATCGACAAAAAAATGCAAATTTTGGATTAGTAATTGGGTTTAATTAATTTAAAATTAGTGGACAGCTAATCACAATTCCAACCTAATACGATCAAAATTTTAAACCAGTTGGGCGCAATTTCGATATAAAATGTTAAGATTTTGACGTAGATATTCAAAATTTCGAGATAATTAATTAATTTGGGGAACATAACGTTAGTATAATAAATGCGAATTTCAAACAAAAAATCCAAAAATCCAAATTTGGTCATAATAATTAATTGATTTTTTTTTAACTTAGTTAAACTTGCAGATGAATTAAAAAAAAATTAATCGGAAATTTCTAGATATATGGGTGAAGATTTTGTCAGAAATAATTTAATTCTGAAATTACTGCGTTATTTTTTTTTCAATTAACTAAATTTCCAGATAAGAAATTCAAGTTAATTAAACCTAATTATGTCCAATTTTGATATAGGAAATCTGATTTAATGAATCGAAATTTTTAGAAACTTAATTTTATTACAAAACTCCGAACTTCAGACAACAAAAATCCAAATTTTGGATTAGTAATTGGTCTTAATTACCTTAAAATTAGTAGACAACTAATCACAATTCCAACCTAATACGATGAAATTTTAAACCACTGTGACGCAATTTCGATATAAACTGTTACGATTTCGAGCTAGATATTCAAAATTTCGAGATAATTAATTAACAGTTTTCTAAAGATAAGTTAAATGTTCAGATAAATTGAAATACAATTTCAACATAATACTAATAAATGGAAATTTGTATATAATTAAGTTGTGACTTTGTCATAAATAATTTAATTTTGAAATCAGTGCGTTAAAATTTCCTTTGAATTAACTCTAAATTTCGAAATAATAAGAAATTCAAGTTAATTACAACTAATTATGTCCAATTTAGTTATAAGAACTCTGATTTAATAAACCGAAATTTTAGGGAACATAATGTTAGTGTAATAAATGCGAATTTCAAACAAAAAATCCAAATTTTGCATCATTAATTTAGCTTAATTAACTTAAAACTTCTAGAGAATTAATCACAATTCAAAGTTAATACGATGAAAATTTAAACCAATGCGGAGAAATTTCAATATAAGGTGTTAATATTTTGAAGTAGATATTGAAAATTTTGTGATAATAATTAATTGATTTTTTTAAATTAGTTAAATTTTCAGATGAATTAAAAAAATCCAGATAATACTATTAAATGGAATTTTGTAGATATGCGGGTGTAAATATTGTGTCTGAAATAATTTAATTCTGAAATCACTGCGTTAATCTTTTTTTCAATTAACTAAATTTCCAAATCAGAAATTCAAGTGATTTAAACCTATTTATGTCTAATTTAGATATAGGAAATCTGATTTAATAAATCGAAATTTTGAGGAACTAATTTTATTACAAAAATCTGAATTTCAGCCAAAAAACATCCAAATTTTGGATTAGTAATTGGACTTAATTACCTTAAAATTGGTAGACCACTAATCACAATTCCAACCTAATATGACGCAATTTTTAACCAGTGTGGCGCACTTTCGCTATAAATTGTTTACATTTTGAGGTAGATATTCAAGATTTCGAGATAATTAATTAACAATTTTCTAAAGATAAGTTAAACGTTCAGATAAATTAAAATACAATTTCAACATAATACTAATAAATGGAAATTTGTAGATAATTGAGTTGGGACTTTGTCATAAATAATTTAATTTTGAAATCAGTGCGTTAAAATTTCCTTTGAATTAACTCTGAATTTCGAAATGATAAGAAATTCAAGTTAATTACAACTAATTATATCTAATTTATATATAAGAACTCTGATTTCATAAACCTAAATTTTAGTGAACATAATGTTGTATAATAAATACGAATTTCAAACAAAAAATCCAAATTTTGCGTCATTAATTTAGCTTAATTGACTTAAAACTTCTAGAGAATTAAACACAATTCAAAGTTAATAGGATGAAAATTTAAACCAATGCGGTGAAATTTCAATATAAGCTGCTAATATTTTGAAGTAGATATTGAAAATTTGGTGATAATAATTAATTGATTTTTTTAAATTAGTTAATCTTTTAGATGAATAAAAAAAATCCAGATAATACTATTAAATGGAAATTTGTAGATATATGGGTAAAGATTTTTTCAGAAAGAATTTGATTCTGAAATCACTCCGTTAATTTTTTTTTTTCAATTAACAAATTTCGAAATAACAAATTCAAGTTAATTAAACCTAATTATCTCTAATTTTGATATAGGAAATCTGATATAATAAATCGAAATTTTGAGGAACTTAATTTTATTACAAAAATCCGAATTTCAAACAAAAAAAAAATCGATATAAACAATTTTTTTTTTCAAGACCCGGTTATGGGTACATATAAAACGGAATCAGTTTTGTCTACACCACACAGCGAACATAACCATTTTCACATTTATGTTTAAAATATTATTCATTGCCTCGATTATTAAAAACAATCCCCTTAAACCCCCGCAATAAGCTTAAACTCTCGAAAAAAGCGCCCTCGTAAAGCACCGTGTTCGTTCCGTTCCAGAGGTGCGTTCACTTCCCCTCGATAAACAACCGGGTAATTTCAGTAATTACACTGCGACGTAATTGCTGGTAAACAAACATTTGTTTTCTTACAGTAATGATGACGTCTTCGGTTTTCTGTATTCCGGCAGCAACTCCACAACACAATTAATTTATTTAACGAGGGCGTACTAAATACAAAACGGTTTCGCCTTGACGATAACAAGGCTTTATTAGCAGTGCCAAGTAAAGAGTGCATTAGTGCAGTAAAATTTTCCAAAAACGCGAAACCACAGTTTTTAATTTAGAAAAAATGGATGAATTCGCCGACTACAATCGCAGTGTGGTCAACACCACCTTCGTCGGTGACTTCTCACCTTGGTTCATCACAGGACAAGTTCTTAAAATTTTGGTGGCGATGTTGGTAATGACGTGCGACGTAATGGTGATGTACGCCACGATTGGCTTGAAGAAGGCGGACGTGAAGTATTTTCATTTAATGAACTGGAGCTTGGTGGATTTTCTGCGATGTGTGATCTCACCTCACGTGTTGTTTTTAGTTGTAGTCAATCCGAATTCAGAGGAAGACGAAGGGTTTTATCAAAACTTGATTTGTTGGGTTTTACAAGCAGAGTCTGCGGCGATACTTATAATTAGTGTGACGGTTTTTTTGTTGACGCTTGACTGGATAATAGAAGTGTGCACACCGTGGCTACAGACTTACAAAAATAAAGCAGTTGTCATCAAAATCGTCTTTTACGTCTTTGCGGCTTTGTATTTTTGGTACGCTTCGATGTTCTGTTTGTCGAATTGGCGCCAAATTCATCACACTAGTGTGTTAATAGTCCTCAAACTACTAACTTTGTTTATATTGTTGTTGTACGTGTGTTACTCTATATGTAAAAAAATCAGACACGTGACCCTCAAGTTTGACTTTAGGATAATTCTTCCGACAGTGTTTGTCATGTCGTGGTTGCCTACTCTGATTGTAAATTTATTAGTTGATGTATCCAGTGACCACAAATTAATCATTGGCTACTATTTTTTCGCTGAGTGTTTTTCACTAGTCAATGCTATCGTAAACGTGTACGTTTTATTCAAGCACGAAGAAGAATTCAAGCCAAAGTTTGTAGATTTTGTTAAATGTAATTGTCAGTGTCGATGACAAAGTAAAAATTTACTTTGAACTAAATTTAGCTTTTTTAATAAAGTTTTTCTGTATAATCTTGTTGTATTTTTGTAGTTGTTGCGATAATAATATGTGGCGTGGTCTATAAAAGTCGGTAGGCGTCACATTCCCTTTGTGATGTCACTTCGAACGGAAAAGAGCGTTCTTGTCAATGTCGCTGCAGCTTTTAGCCGACAAGTCCTATTAAAACTTCTCTTAGACACTCGCTTCACCTTTGGTTAAATCTGATTCCAGAAATAACCGATTTATAGGTGCATTTAAAGGGTAGACGTAAGTATCACCACCACGAAAACTAACTTCTCTAGTTTAATTTTTAGATGGTGAACTTAAAGCTTGCGTCTGAGCTGATTTCGTCCTGCCTAAATAATTTTAACAATTTTTTGAAAAGCGGTTATCGAGGTGGAGGTCAAAGAAATGGAATTATGTCAATGTTTTGTAATCAACCGAAGCCGATATAAGTATGATTAAAAATAAGCAAAAATCGACAGGTAGAAGGCATTTTGTTTTGCACATTTTGAACTCAATTTACTCGGCAAAATTGTAGATAACGTCATCAAATTTTGGAAGAGAGGAATAGAAAAAAACAGAAAGAACGCGAGCGCAGCGAGCATGTTTAGGCTGCCGGCTTATTCAATATTTATTATAACAATTCTAGAGATCTCCCTGTGAAGGTAAATTACTCTGAAAAAATCAACCTCTAAAATAAACAACAACAACAAAAATTGTCTTGATAATTTAGTTTCTCCGGAACACTAATGAATGATTTTTTAAATTACACCTGAACGTGCTCGCTGCACTCGCATTTTAACACTTCTT